GATTATAAATGTTGCCTCGACGCACCCGTTCGAACCGTATTTTACCCTTGGTCCTCACGCGTGTCCCTAACAATATCTTCGTAATGGTAGCTCGAGGCCCGAATTGCGCAGGAGACATTATTCGAAAGGTGCGCGTAATATGCACGCAGTTCCTTCGGCTCGCGCCGAAGCAATCTGAAACGGTGGCCCGAAGTACATAGTACATACATACATACTAAAACGGTGCCTCGAAAGAACATTCTAAAACGACGGCTTCGAGCACATCTTGCATAAGGGTGGAAACGTTTAAGCGCGGAGAACGTTTGAATAGGCGCTCGAAGCGGGCCTAGCCGTGGCCTGACGTCACCGGAGGGTTCCGGGGGTTGGTGGGGAGCACGGGAGAATTTGAGAATCACTGGGACAGAGAGACAGCCCGTGGCCACCAATGGGCGAAATAGTGGGGTTGGTCCCGGTGGTGGTACGCGCGGGAGGCAACGTGCCAGCCGTGAGGGGAGGCAGCCATGAATGAAAGTAGCGCGTATCGATCTACCCGCGCCGCCCTAGATAAAATATGGTAAATAGTGGGCTGAAACGGGCTTGGGGGCGGCGCGGGGGGAGGAGAACGTCATCGCGCGCATAACGACGCTCATCCCCCCGTGTCCCCCCCGCCGTTTGGTCGACGCCGACCGACGACAACGATCCCACCGTGGCTATCTGTGGCCACACGTGGCCCCCAGGACGACACCGATTTCCCATTTCAATTAAAACCGACCGTGGAAAACGGGCCCGGCGCGGCGAGAAACGGCCAATCGGTGTGTTTCCGGTACGGTACAACGCGATCTTTACCCGCGTGACGCAACCCGAGCTCGTTTTTCGCCATCCTACGCTGTGTCCAAATATCATCCGGCAGGGAGCATCGTCGTCGGTGGAAAAAAAGTTCGCGTGCTCTGTACTTTGACAACGCACGTTTTGCTTTCTTTCAGCCGTCGGTGAACCGCGCGACTCTTGTTTATTATTAGGGGCTCGGGTTTTTTTATTCTTCGCCTAAAGCGTGTTACTCGATTCGCGGAAACTAAATTGAATAAATCAGCATCGCTTGAAAATTTATGCCCGGGTCACATCTGACCCGGTGGCCGCAGTCCGCGACGCGACTACCGTCGCTCGACTACACGCTAAGCCGCTCGTCGAACGCAAGATACCTTTGTACTATAATACATGTACTATACATGTACTATACTACTAGTACATCTACTCATTGTAGATGTACTATAATACTATAGTACTATAATACTAGCTATAATACTCGACTATCGTACTATAAGACTCCGCTAGTATACTTTAATTGTACGTTGCGGGGGCAAGCATGCTGGGCCCGGTTTAATGGTCCGGTTAAGTTAGCTAGTCTATACTAATGTAATTATGGGGTATAATGTAATATAGTCGAACTATGAATAATGGGTCGATAGTTTAAATATACATAGTGTTGCCTCTAACAAGCTGGCATAGCTGAACCGTAAACCGCATGCCAGTACATACATACATACATACAATGGTTTAACTGTAGAATATACTTGTACGTTCTTATTTTATACTAGCAATCGATACTAGTTCCGTTCTACACCATATTATTCTAGGCTGACTACGCGCTATAGCGTTCGAATCCACCATACACGGTCTCTGCTGCATGTAGAACTCGCACCCCTTACGCTCGGGGCTGCACCGAAGACCGAGAATTTCAGAACAATTTATCCGTGAGAAGAGGTGTTCGCGCTTATATCTATCTAGCAATTTGCTAATTAGAAATCTACTTCGTAACGCGTCGATTAGCTACGGCAATTTTCATCGGAGTGCCATCCGATGAAAAGGGCACTGCCATTCGAACGCATAGGGTTGATAGGTGTAACCGTACCGTTCGGTCTTCGACCGATCAATGAAGTTGATTTTCCAGAGAATGCAGTTCCGTGGATCCGCGATCGAATTTTCGTAAGAACGGTATTTCGTTTAACGCTGAACCTACCATGAATTAAAAGTGACGAGTGTGCGATTGAATTTATTTAAACTTTCCAGAATTTTGATTGCAACGTTTCAATCAATTCGTAGGAAAGAGCATAATTTCAGCAATTTTAACCCTTAGGGGACCAGTTTACACACTGCCAAGTCCAGACTGTTTTTAGACGAAGAGAAACTTTTTACTGAACATTTTTGTATCAAATATAGAGAAGAGATATTCATTTTTTTAAATAAAACTTCGTCGATATATTTTCATCGAAACAATCGTGCCTATTCTCCCAATGTTCCCTGCCAGATTTTACGGTTTTATTGATTTCTGCCGCGTGTACGGCGGCATCGGAATATATAAATATAATAAAATAAATATATATAATAATATATAATATACATATATATTATATACTATTATATATATTATTATATATATTTATTTTATCATATTTATATATTCCGATATATATATATATATATATATATATATATATATAATATAAATATATATTATATATTATATATAATATAATAAATATATATAAATACACAACGTGAAATCGGTCGTTTTGACCGGCGACGGTGATAGGTTCAGCGTTAATGCCGGAGCAAACGATCGGGGGAGGAGGGCACTCTGTTCTGCCGATTGAAAAAGTTCAACCGGGTCGCGGCAACATTTCGGCCTGAATAATGCACGCAGCCCGCGTAGCAGACAGGAATTACGTATTCACGTTTAAAAGCGTACGTCATACTTGCGATGTACGTATACATAGAGAGCCGCGCGAAGGGCGCCGCAATGAAAAAGTAATTCAAGGTGGCGCGGCCCCGTGGTTCCGAGTAAACTTCAACTTCGTACGCACGCATTCGACGCTGCAATTACCGCTGTCCGAACTCTATTATTACCGGCCCGGCACACAACCCGCGATACCATCTCTAGCCTAAGAAAATAAATTTCTCACCCTCTCGGCAACGCGACTTCGACGACACCGAGCAGGATCTCCCGTGGCGCCGATCGAAACCCGCGTTTGTACCCATTTGTTGCCGCGTATCGTATCGCCGCTGCGTATCGTAATTACGTACGAATCCGTGAAGTACAACCTATACACTCGACGACGACGACGACAAGTGACAACGACGCGAAACAAACGGACGCGGACAGATTCGGGCATCGCGAATTCGAAATGCCACGGACGCGACGAAAATCGATGTCGGACATTCGAAAAAGAAAAAACTCGGCGAAAAAGTATAGAACGCGGACGCTACACAACACAGNCCAGAATTTTGATTGCAACGTTTCAATCAATTCGTAGGAAAGAGCATAATTTCAGCAATTTTAACCCTTAGGGGACCAGTTTACACACTGCCAAGTCCCGACTGTTTTTAGACGAAGAGAAACTTTTTACTGAACATTTTTGTATCAAATATAGAGAAGAGATATTCATTTTTTTAAATAAAACTTCGTCGATATATTTTCATCGAAACAATCGTGCCTATTCTCCCAATGTTCCTTGCCAGATTTTACGGTTTTATTGATTTCTGCCGCGTGTACGGCGGCATCGGAATATATAAATATAATAAAATAAATATATATAATAATATATTACATATTATATATAATATAATAAATATATATAAATACACAACGTGAAATCGGTCGTTTTGACCGGCGACGGTGATAGGTTCAGCGTTAATGCCGGAGCAAACGATCGGGGGAGGAGGGCACTCTGTTCTGCCGATTGAAAAAGTTCAACCGGGTCGCGGCAACATTTCGGCCTGAATAATGCACGCAGCCCGCGTAGCAGACAGGAATTACGTATTCACGTTTAAAAGCGTACGTCATACTTGCGATGTACGTATACATAGAGAGCCGCGCGAAGGGCGCCGCAATGAAAAAGTAATTCAAGGTGGCGCGGCCCCGTGGTTCCGAGTAAACTTCAACTTCGTACGCACGCATTCGACGCTGCAATTACCGCTGTCCGAACTCTATTATTACCGGCCCGGCACACAACCCGCGATACCATCTCTAGCCTAAGAAAATAAATTTCTCACCCTCTCGGCAACGCGACTTCGACGACACCGAGCAGGATCTCCCGTGGCGCCGATCGAAACCCGCGTTTGTACCCATTTGTTGCCGCGTATCGTATCGCCGCTGCGTATCGTAATTACGTACGAATCCGTGAAGTACAACCTATACACTCGACGACGACGACGACAAGTGACAACGACGCGAAACAAACGGACGCGGACAGATTCGGGCATCGCGAATTCGAAATGCCACGGACGCGACGAAAATCGATGTCGGACATTCGAAAAAGAAAAAACTCGGCGAAAAAGTATAGAACGCGGACGCTACACAACACAGATCAATGGGAACGATCGCAGCGCTATATGCGTGTCACTATCTAAAATTATTGTCTCGGACTGCCGCCATTACCCATTCATGCGAACCGTCCGAGAGTTTGTTCCCCGTCAATGGCGCCGAAATCCAGCGGATTTCGAACGGAAACGGATCTACGATAGACGAGAGACGGAAACCCGAGTCCCAGGCATCCTCGATGCTCCTCGAATTCCACCGTCAGAAAATACCGCTACCGTTCAGAGTCATTGATCTCGCGAACGGATTTCGCGGTGTGCTTGATGCACCAACAGATTGCAGATGCACCCTAGCAGGATCTAACGCGACTACCGTTGGAGAACTACTCTCGAGAAAACGTCGCGAAAACGCGACGTCGGTGAAAGATTACGGAGAGTACGGACTCCTGTAAAGGAGGACCGTCGGTGCTGTCGTGCAAAATCCGCGAAAAATCGAGTCGAGGCTACTACGTCGGCCCGATGCATCGGGTTCGCGAACAGGGGAAACGTGTCGAATCCTTTGACACCGATGCACCGACCGAGAGAAAGCTGTCGCTGTGACGAAACGAGACGCAACAACACCTATATAAACGGGAGGACGTCGGAGGACCGAGGATCTTCGCGATTCGCGGTGAATGGAATGGAGTTAGTCGCCGATGTCCGCTTACCTGGGTCATGACAGGGGTGGTATCTTCATGTTTCCAGCAGCGGAGGAGGCTCACAACAGCTGGTCGTCGATCGGCTGCTGGTATATCCTGGTTACGTGGGACGAGAACGACGGCACTGCGATGTTTCGCCAGCACTTCCACGCCATAACACGTCCGAAAACGCGCGACGGTTTACTCACATGACAGGCCGCGGCGGGTTGGAGGGGGGAGAGGGGCCGGGAGGACTCTCCAGGTGGATGTAATCGCAACGAGACCGCCGCCGCCTGAATTTGGCACCACGCGAGGAGCCAATCGCTTTTCTCTCGGTCTGTTTTAGGTTTTCTTTTCTCGTTTGTCTCTCTGCGGTTAGGTCACCGGGTGACGGTGCACGAGCTCCCTTCGACGGGTAAATCAGACTGTCCCTCCTCCGACAGCCCCGCTGACGACGGTGGCTGCGGGATTGTTGGGGGTTCGGCAGCGAACGAACCAGCCAGAACGAGGAAGAGGTTAACGGAGAAAGGTGCGACCCGAGCGAGACAGGGGACGAATGACTACGGTGGTACGTCACGTCGCGGCGCCACCGTCAACCATCCCCAGCATGATCAAAATTCGACTGATTGGGGGAGGACCAATACGGGGTGGCCCCAACGTTCCTAGTCGATTCGACGACGTCTGGAAATAATAAACAAACTGCGAGCTTAGACTGGTTCGAACGTGCCGCTCGGAACGTTCGTACACTTTTCGAATATTTATCTGGCTAAATGGGTCACCGACTAAATGTCTCATAAATAATATTAAATTAAGTATCGGCTTTTGTATTTCGATATCTTGCATTGTTGTACAACGATACGTATAGGATCACATTTATTTATATAAGTACTAATTTTTACGATTTAATCCATCTGAAGAAATGATAACAATTTATCGAGATCTCGGTATTTGAGGAAAACAATTTTGATCGCTTTATTGAGGAAGATTGTAATTATTAGTCTGAATTAATTAAAATAGATTCAGATCTATGTACTTCAGTTTTAATGACAAAGTCATGTGCTTTTGTAAACAATTCATGATAAAAGATTCAATATCATGTTCACTGATTGCGTTGTAAATAAAGACGGTAAAAAGGATAGAAACAATAGAAAAATATGTTATCTCGAAGAGACTGTACGATACCGAAGGGTTCGTTCAACCTTTGTTTGTTCCAATATTTCATGGACTCGTGACGTTTTTGAATATGTAACGAAAATTGTAATATTGTATATTTAATAATTACGAAGTAATATTCTATACAGAGTCTACTGGCTCTAAACAAATAATTCAAAGACGTTAACTTCTTGCGATTTTAGACTATAGAAAATATTTACTATATCTGTAGAAAGTTCAAGATACATTCGCTGTCTATATTTATTCAAATGATGGATAATGTCTTGCACAAAAATTGTGAATATATCGAAGGTTAATATAAGGTTAAACAAATAATTTAAAGACGACAACTTCTTGCGGTTTTAGACTATAGAAAATATTTACTATACCTGTAGAAAGTTAAAGATACATTCGCTATCTATATTTATTCAAATGATGGATAATGGTCTTGCACAAAAATTGTGAATTTATCAAAGGTTATGCATGTTCTTTACAAATAGCGGAGACTGTGCGACAATCTGAAGAAAATGATTCGATCGATAATAGCAATGTCAATCAAACGTTCAAATGTGACCGATAAGACTTATCGGTTGTATTCAAACTGAAATGGTCTGGCGCGCAGATTTTAACAAGTGCATATAAACAGAGGGCGCAACAGAGATCGTGACCAGTCTCGTTTCGTATAACGCAGTGATCTTGCCGTGATTCGTTAAAAGCAACGCATATATCACTTGAAAATCATAAAAACCATCGTTCTCATTTAGTATCGACGCATTTCTGTTTAGTTTACAAATTGTTCACAACTTGAAGCATATTCGAAGTTCGTCAAATGTCCGAGAACGTTGTTTTAATTTGAATGTCACCGAGTTTTCAAAGTTTCGTCATTTGACAGATTTGAATCGGCCGTATAAAAGTGAGTAATGTTGTTTTAAAAATTATTTCTTTTTTTTTCTTAGTAGTTTTGAATATTTATTTATTTAAAGTCACGGTATACTAAAAAAAAAACGAGAAACATCTTGTGTTGATACCGTGTATGTAATTCGAGAGNCCGTATAAAAGTGAGTAATGTTGTTTTAAAAATTATTTCTTTTTTTTTCTTAGTAGTTTTGAATATTTATTTATTTAAAGTCACGGTATACTAAAAAAAAAAAAACACGAGAAACATCTTGTGTTGATACCGTGTATGTAATTCGAGAACGCGTACATTCTTGAACAATTTTAACGAAGGACAGAATACTTTCCCACTTTCTACGAAGAGTACAATTTCTCTTGAATAATGATCACGTTTGATACTGTAACAAGTCTACTAAATTGTTGGGTGAAAATGTAATCGAGATAAACGTTGCAACTGGTAGAGCTTATGAAATCGTGAAATCGAAAGTCAAACCCGATTCAATTCGTGGCTGTTATAATTAACGCTACGTCGAATTGTATAGAAATTATCGAATGAACGAAAGGCATTGTAGCTCTTTGTCTTTTCACAGAGTAAAACAATTTCTCCGCGTATTAAATCGCAAATACATACATGTGTTTCAGCGACAGACGGTATCGTCAGTCGATAAAGAGATATCGGAATCTATTCCCGATCGATTTTTCCTTTCAGTTAGGTAATCGAAATGAAAGTATGGAAAGCAACGCTGTAAAACCGGTGTTGATCAAGAATCGAGCGCTTTGCTCGAGATACTCTTAATTTCTTACATTTCATTGATCTTTCCCTCAGATAACAGTTTAATGGAATCATTTAAATGAAAGTTGTCTGCAGATTCTAATTTTTACATGATGTCAATACGGAAAGCGGCGAGGATTGTTTTGCAGAACAATATTTACATAAAATAACGTTATCAAGCGAGATCGTATCATTTGCAAACGAATTGTAAGATCTCCCGTGACCTTGAACAATTGTGTCCGTCAATGAATCTACAGAAGCGTATAGAGTGTGCATAGAAAGTGAAAAGTTTGTAACAATTTAAGCTTAGCAAGTGATTGCATTGTAATTATATGTTATACCTGCATACATGATTTTTAACATCTTTTATATTGTACGTATACACTTCTGCATATCTTTTTGTAATTGTTTTCTTTGTTGATTATACTTTCGTCGCAGAGAAAAGTCGGTACACGAAGGTGTTTTATAATTTTGGCCAGAAAAAGTTGCTTTCCGGACGACTGTGGCGACGTGGTCGATCGCATTTCCGTCTCAGGAATGTCAAATTTATCGTGTGTCTGTCTCCTCGTTCACGGCTTGTTTGTAAACACTTCCAATTATACACGAATGATCGTAATTTGGAAATTAACGATCAGCGAACGCGTCGAAAATTAATGATCCGTTCAGTGGATCACGGAGCATTACGCGGTAACTGATCTCTCTTCTTCGCGTTGCCATTTACGCCAGAAAGTGCAAATTGTGCATTGTTCTTCTGTTCAAACATTTGTATGGCATATTTGAAATAACCGCTCGATAAGACGGGAACACAGGATAATTCACCGAGTACGTATCACACTATTCTTCGTGTTGCCAGCTGTGGCAAATTAGTCAAATTGCACATACATATGTAACGCTGTTCTGTTCAACCATTTACGTGGCATATTTGAAATAACTGCTAGATAAACAGAGCACAAGATAATTCGCAGAGAGCAATGTAATTCTCCACCGTGTGTATTATTCGAGGGTAATCTTACACGTATCGCGGTGTACGAATATTTCGTAGCCGAAGAGACAAAGACGATATTCGCGGATAAAATGTGCTCGCGATTGTCTTTCGTAGGCGTAATTGTACCGTAATAGTTACACGGGCAATCAGCGCCTTGGTGTGCAGGCTCGTTCTCTGTACAAAAGGAAATCAATGCTCACACCAGCAACGACAGCGATTGTGTGTAAAAATGAAATGGGGCATTGGGTGAAAGTACTCTTGGCTTGGAGGTCTTATATCAGATCAGTCTGCCAAGAGCCGTGCAGGATGTGGATGGCAATTTTGCTCTGCTCCTAATGACCAGATCTCTGCCTGACTCCGACAGAGTCATACACACTTTTGTTAGAATTATCGTTTAACAAAATTATGATACCAGTGTCGTAGTACAACAACAGTCGGTTCAGTGTACGTGTGCAGTGAAAGGGATTAGTAAAACGAAACGTGGATTTTTGCAGAATGTTGCAGCTGGTATGGATATGGTGTTTGCTTGTGTCAGTGGCAGATTTGACATTGGCTCTTGATAATGGTCTTGTGAGAACGCCGCCCATGGGCTGGCTTGCCTGGGAACGATTTAGGTGCAACACAGATTGCAAAAATGATCCCGATAACTGTATCAGGTGAGAGTGTTAATTTTCAAATTTATCTTCTCACTTTCTTCAGCTTTCTACAATATTGATTCGAAGCTAGTTTATTTGGTAATCTTTCGTCGAAATTATAGTGTTATTATAGATTTTTAGAACTTACGAATGCTTGATAGTACAGCATGATTCTGTATGATAAAGTGAAACTTCATTAGCATCTCTGTTACATATCTCTAAATCTATTACTACCAACTCCAGTTGGTAGATGATTATCATGAAATGCAAAATTCAATTTCATTCTCAGAATGATCTATATAAAGGACAATGTAAAAAGTATATGAAAGTTTTGTCAGTTATTGTTTTTTAAGTAAAGGGATAATTAATCAAATCAAAAATATTTTTAGAAGAATCTATGAAACACAAGGATCTTTTATGTTGTGATTACATTGATGAATGTGGAAAAATACATTCTAAGAAAAATTTAAATGTTGTTCTTTCATAAGATGTTGCTTAGAATAGAACTGACTAGCATTTGATTCAAATCAAGGATGCATGACATCAACAATGACACTTAATAAAATTATTTAGAGCTGTGACATAGTTGTTTCGTAAATTTCTATTGCAAAGCTTAAGAAAATAATTATTGTATGACAGAAGTTTAAAAATTACTTAAAACTCAATTTTTACATTTTATAGTGATCGACTCTTTCGCACAATGGCAGACATTATTGTAGCAGAGGGCTATGCTGCTGTTGGATATGAGTATGTTAATGTTGATGACTGTTGGTTGGAAAAAGACAGAGATGTTGATGGTCAACTTGTACCAGATAGACAAAGATTTAAACATGGGATGAAAAGTCTTGCAAATTATGTATGTTCCTATAATTACCTTCAACATAGGATATTGATTTCCTAGACTCACAATTCTCTATTTTGGCTTTGTAGATTCATTCAAAGGGTCTTAAATTCGGGATTTATGAAGACTTTGGTAACTATACATGTGCTGGTTACCCTGGTATATTAGGATACTTAGAAATAGATGCACTCACTTTTGCATCTTGGGATGTTGATTATGTGAAACTAGATGGTTGTTATTCCCATCCATCTGAAATGGACAGAGGTACAGCTTAAATTATTATACATATAGTCAATTAGAAACAAATTCTACTTAACTCTTTGACTTTATCAAATAATTTTATCAAATATTTTAGGCTATCCTGAGTTTGGGTTTTATTTAAATCAAACAGGTCGGTCTATGGTCTATTCTTGTAGTTGGCCAGTCTATCAAATTTATGCTGGAATGCAGGTCGGTCTTTATAATACCATCTGTAGAATATTACATTAGAACAGTCTTTGAGAGTATATAAATTTCAGCCAAACTTTACTGCCATAACACAACATTGTAATCTTTGGAGGAATTTTGACGACATTCAAGATTCCTGGAACAGCCTAGAAACCATTATAGATTATTATGGAAACAATCAAGATGCGATTGTACCAAATGCGGGACCCGGTCACTGGAACGATCCCGACATGCTGATAATTGGTAACTTTGGTCTAAGTTACGAGCAAAGCAAAACACAAATGGCCTTGTGGGCCATTCTGGCGGCGCCTCTATTAATGTCCGTTGATTTACGAACTATCAGGCCCGAGTACAAAGCTATTTTACAGAATAGGAAAATTATTGCTGTGGATCAGGATCCACTGGGCATTCAGGGTCGACGTATCTACAAAGTTAGTTAATTAAATATTAGTAATAATGTAGTATGTGCATGAAAATTGAACAGTAGCGGGGAAATAGTGTGGGTTTCGGAATACGTTAGTAAGAGTTCTACTCTACTGTTTAGCATAAAGGCATTGAAATCTGGGCGAGGCCGATAACTCCCATCTACCAGAATTACTACTCTTACGCCATAGCGTTTGTAAATAGGAGAACGGACGGCACACCGTCCGATGTATCTGTTACACTAAAGGAGCTTGGGCTCCAGTATCCTGGAGGATACAATGTGGAGGTATGCGTTTACGGAACAATCACGATTCTAAGATTTAATTAGATTAAAATAAAAACTGCCAAAATAATTCTGTTTCCAGGATTTATACGAAGATGTAAATTACGGCGTTCTGACGCCTCAAACGAAAATAAAAGTCAAAGTGAATCCATCCGGTGTTGTGATATTGCGATGCGACTTGCATTTAGAAGACGTTTTTGATACGAATCAATTTCAACAATTCTCGCCTTCGAATCAACTCTTTAAAGTCAGACAGAATTCGTTTAAGTGACACGAATTGAACAATTAAGAAATTTCTAATTGTAATTTACCATTTTTATTGTACTTGACTACACAATGTTACCATACTTTGTTAAGAAAGTAGAAAATAAAGAATTTTATAATCTATGAAAAGTTAATTCATTCAGAACATAGGCAATCTTGTTATGTACACTAATAGGCTGTTATCGTGTGGAATGTATTGAATCATTGTTTAGACAAACACCAGGCGTACGCGTTATCAAAAATACGTTGCCATGGCGAAATCTCGTATTTCACCCAATCTGCGGGTTTCCAAGGCCACTGCCACATTTGCGTACATCGTTCAGGATGTGGCATCATCGCGAGATGCCGTCCATCCGCGGAACAGATACCAGCAATACCACCTAAGGTAATACAAAATATTTGATACATAATTTCGTCAGATTCAAACACTGATTCCCTATCATCCGCATTGATATTTACACATAAATACACGAATTCTCACCTGTACTACCATTAGGATTAAGAGGATATTGTTCGGTTTGGTTGCCGTAATCATCAGTATACCTGATGGCCAGGCAATTATTGTTTTGAAGCTTCTTCAACGTATCATCGTTTCTGAAAGTAAATCTTCCCTCGCCATGTGCAACCCACACGCCTAATACGCTATTTTCCATTCCATTCAGCATTATGGATGGTGACTTATCAATTCTGACCGTACTCCACCGACACTCAAACCTCTCGGATAGATTATGATCTAAGAAAACCTCTGGTTCTTCAACATTACCTGCGTTAGAAGGAGGATATGATCAAGCGTGTTAATGAAATTCATGAATTTCGCAAGCACAAATTCCTTATGCTGGATACATTTTATTACTCAACAGAACATACCGGTTTCGTTTCCTATCCATCCCAACAGGGACATTAATTGACATCCGTTACAAACTCCTAAACTGAACGTGTCTTTACGAGAGATAAATGCTTCCAATTGCTTCTGTAAAGACGGATGGAAGAGGAGACTTGCTGCCCATCCCTTGGCTGAGCCCAAGACATCTGAAATTATAGATAAGTTTAAACCAATTATACTTAATGCAGTAGCAGTAATAATTGCCCTCTACAATAAATGAACAATGTACCGGCATAACTGAAGCCACCAGGAAAAATGACACCTTTGAACCTGTCAAATGTTACTTTGTTGTCTAATAAATCTTGCATTGCCACATCATAAACCTCAAAGCCGGCTTGCACCAAGGCTGCCGCCATTTCCCTATCGCCGTTTATGCCTTCTTCTCTTATCACGGCTACGGTGATCTTTGCTGTAGAATCAATAGAAACTATAAAATTTGCTGTGACGTAAGCAAATACTAGATAACAATTTTACGAACAAGTTAAAGTTTTATGAATCCTAACAGGTTTTACATCAGGGTTAAAGGACAACTTGTAAACTGGCGCAGCTCTATCTTTGAGTCCATCAAACTCTTGTAATGCACATTCCACATTTGTTTGACGACGTTCTAATTGGTAGCTAGTTTCTTCCCATAGAGACATCAAGGATAACACTGTCGAATCCAAGACAGTTCGATTTTGAACTTTGACATTTATCTAAGAACATAATGTGAAAGTAATTATAAATGCTCATATTAAAGATTTCGCATAAAATTTAGAGTAAATACTTTCGAAGTCATTCCAAACTTTTCAGATCGTCCAATTGAATATATAGGAGCATTAAATTGTTTGAACACATTTAACACGTGTTGGTAATTTTCTTCATCAACTTCCAATATCCAGCCCACTTCTTCGGCGAATAAAACTTCTATAGGTGTTCCAGATTTGTGGGAAATATTAACGTCCATTCCAGACATACCAGCAAAACACATTTCTAAAAGACACGTGATAAGTCCCCCATCGCTAACATCGTGTCCTGCCAATATTTTTTCCTCTGTAAATAGAAAAAAAGTATTTTTTTATATCTTCTCAATATAATGAAAGAAATATTAAAACATTATAATTCACCTGCAATCAACTGTTGCGTCGCTTTGAAAGCATTTTTCAATAAATCGGCATGTCTCATATCTGGAACATCGTTACCAAGTGATTTATACACCTGAGCTAAAGCCGTACCGCCGATTCGACTTTGTCCATTAGACAAGTCGACGAATAACAAGCTGCCATTCTTCCCTGTCGCAGGTGCTTTAAAGTCTGGCGTTACCACCTGCAATATGAAACTGTTAGTTGAATATAAAAACCTAGATAAAGATGTTTTAACTCTTACTTACATGTCGGATATCCGGACAAGGAGCATAACAAGAAACTACAAGTGTCCCTGGCGCTTTAACAACATCTTTACCAATTCGAGCAGCCATGCTAAGAGAATCTTTACCTCCGTCGATTGCAATGCCAAGTTCGTTCATCAATGAACACATAGCAGAACACGCATCGTATAGTGCAGCACCCTCTCCTGGTAATTTGGCAGCCCACATCCAATTACCGCTGCATTTAACATCCTATAGTGTGTAAACTTTAGTAAACAAAAAAGTTCAATTTACGTTGATACACCTAATACCTTTAAATCTGAGATTCGCGCGAATACTAAATTGCTTAAGGCCTCTGCCACGGTCATGCGAGCTCCAGCTGCTGCATTTACTAGACCCTTTATTGGCTGTTCTCCAATAGATGTAGCTATGCCAACCTACGAAGATTTGCATAAAAAAATATATTGCTAATGATACTATTTATTAACAAATTATTTCTCCGTTTACCGTTGAGAAGTAAGAGACTGCAGTTACAGCAACATCGGCAAGAGGAGTATGCAGAGGACCAACGCATTGTTGCTGCGCTATCAATCCAGTTACACAACGGTCAACCTTATTAGTTAAATATCGTTTGCTGCCAACTGAAGGCAAACGCAAGACTCTTTCCAAAGCAGATTGTACGGTCAAATCTGTTGGAAGTGACAAAGAAGGTAGTTGTATGTTTCGCCTCTGAAAGTTGAACGTCTGCGAAACCAAAAAATTATGTTTAGTTTCAACTTTATCACAAATTAATATGTTCTTTGATATTTCTGCACGTTTACCTTACGCGGCATTTTCCCGAGTACCAATTCTAAATCTAAATCCACCGGATGTCTCTTCTCATCCTTATAATTTTCATTTAGATACTTTGATACGTTACAATCGATTTCTTCAGAAAGAATGACCTTTCCATTTCCGGTAACAGTTCCTACGAAGTTGATAGGACATTTCTCTCTAGCTGCTATTTCCTTGAGTAAGCCAGCATCTTCAGGTTTACATAGAATTGCATCATTCTCTTGATACTCAGCACCCCATAATTCCAAAGTACTGATGCTTGGATCACCTAGCTCAAATTTCTTGGTGAAGATAACAGCGCCAGCAGGTTCTACCAATTCCTTTAGAACGTTGCCTAATAGTATTTGAAACATACAATGATTTAATTGTCTTATCATTATGATATAATTATATGAAAATAATACTCACCATTCCCTCCCGCTCCTTGATCATGTATACTGAGTATTGGATTCTTTTGTCTCATTTCTGCACATGCACGAACCACTCTGTTCAGTTTCTGCTCCATTTCCGGATCACCCCTTTGGACTGCTCCAAAATCGAGTTCTGATTTATTATCGCCTTGTACCTAATAACTCTGAATTATTTAGTTGAACACAGAAAGAATGATGTTAATGAATGATCGTAATCAAAATACTTCGATGGAACTGGCTGAGCCACCTCCCACGCCGATTCTGTATACAGGACCACCAATTTTTATTACTTCCATACCTAAAATAATTAATCTTCAATTGTTATGCATTGCATTCGCTTATCTTTAACCCAGACCTTTTGCTGGTGCAACTTTCTGTGACATATCAGTGTCCATTGTACCCAAGCCTCCGCTAAACATTATGGGTTTAATCCATTCACGACGTTCCCCAATATTATCTATCATTCCAAAAGAACGAGCAAATCCTGTTATTAGTGGTTCTCCAAATTTGTTGCCGTAATCGGATGCACCGTTACTAGCTTCAACTATAATCTCTAATGGACTAGCCATGTTGCTAGGGTATGGAACATCTTTCTCTTCCCATGGCAAGTCGTACCCTGCCAAATAAATAAAATGGTTGGTAAGAACAATAATCATTTTTCGGCATCCACAAATTTAAAAAAAAAAGATAAAACGAACCTGGGATATGCAAATTTCCAACAGAATAACCAGCAGTTCCAGCAATATAATATCTGTTTTGTCCGTACGTTCGGTTAGTCGCCTAACGTACATGCGCGACCGAACTATTGTACGCTCGATTCGCGCTTCCTACGGCAAATTAATGACGTGGAAGGATCTCTAGTAGTCTTAGAGAACTTTATTTTTTGTGTTGTACTCTCTGCGAGCGCTGGTGGAAGAATGCTCTTCCAACGCTGGAAAGTCGTGGAAGAGCACCCGTGGATGGAGGTAGATTGTTTATTATTGGTCAAGGCACGAATCACCCCTTGGAGGGGGGTGTCTGCCTTGATCCTTGTTGGGGCCTGAGAGGGTTTCCCCAATGGTGGGACCTTTTTATGGCCCTTGTCTCTGGACGCAACAATATCCTCCTCTGCCAATGCCTTGAATATCTCTGAGTCTGCCTCCAGTTCCAGTTGTAGCACCACTGCAAATTACAATTTAGTGTAATTACAAATAAGAAATTAGTCAGTATTACTTACCTAAATGGAGCAACACCAGTTGGAAAGTTGTGAGTTTCAGCGGTAAATATGAGATCTTGAGTAACATTTTCTAAGTGGAAAAAGCTACATTTGTTAGTCAAAGTAGGTCTTAATGTCTACTGTTGTCACTAAACTTAATTGTGTTATTCGGATTCGAGTGTTTTTGTGTCTCTATAATCATATCAAGTAATGATTTCTTCATCTCTTCATTGTCAATAACTACGTATCCTTTAAAAAACCAATGACGACTATGCTCGCTATTAGATTGCGCTAAATCGAAACATTCGACACTGGTCGGATTTCGTTTCAATTTATTAAGAAACAGGTCTGTATAAAAATCTAAATCCCAGTTATTGAATGCCAAACCTACATAAAAAATAAAATGAGTTTTATCTTGAATAATATATTGTTGTATTTTATTTTAGATATGTACCTAATTTTGAATTAACTTCCTCCAATGCTTTTCGTCCACCTTTGAGGACATCCACTTCAAACCAGTCATCAGGTCTAAAACCATGATCAAATGTTTCTATCGGTTGCATGTACCTACATTGAGTCATTTTATCATGTAATGTCTCTGCTATCTGTACAAAAATATAAAATTATAAATACTGCTTCATTTGTATTTTAAATGACGAATTTAATACATACAGTATCTTCCAAGATTTTATCAAGTTTTCCATTATGTTTGATGCAGTATCTAATAGTTGCTTCAATTCTTATTATCTTATGCAGGTTGACAGACTTACAAATTGATACAGCATTGCTGGAGAATGCAGTGGAAAAATTCAATCTGTAAAAACATGAGATATTAGTTATTTATATTATACTATTAATAATAATTATTTATCTAATGGTTTGCTTTACCTTGGACCAATTTCAATAACTAAGCTACCATCCGATTTATGATCAAATACACTCTCACTCTTTAGGCAATGTTTTTCGAATGGAGGAATAAGAATCCATTTTAATAGTTTCAATTCTTCATCACTTAAAGACTCCTTAGTTTCAACATAGTAGCACAATTCTGTCTCCAGTCCAATTATTGACTTAGATAATAGAACCAGACTGTTGAATTGGTTTCTCAGATGTCCGGATCTCAACCCAGATGATTTGTAAAATTTTATGATACCCATTGTCTATGAACAAAAAATTACAAATAAAAGAAACACAAAAGAAAATAAAGTGTAGAAAGAACACAGTACAGTGATGACAATCGACCCCCCTGGTATAGAATTAAATGGAATCAGTGTGCTATCTTTATTTATCAGTGTGGTAATTGCAAAATAGAACACCCATGTTATTTCAAAACTAAACAGAGTTTAAGTTTAGGTCAAATGGACATCTTGCTCAATGATATTCTTATCTGNATCGACCCCCCTGGTATAGAATTAAATGGAATCAGTGTGCTATCTTTATTTATCAGTGTGGTAATTGCAAAATAGAACACCCATGTTATTTCAAAACTAAACAGAGTTTAAGTTTAGGTCAAATGGACATCTTGCTCAATGATATTCTTATCTGTCTAAGATTATGTGTGGTGTGTCTTCACATTTTACTGTGATTGTAAGCATCTTTTTGATGCATCTGTTCTTAATTATTGGTTGTATGAATACAGGCTTAATATTAATAAGAATAAATTAAATTTTATTAGAGATATATTTATGGCTTTCATATTTCAAACTTGATTAATATACATGTGAATTTACAGAATAAAAATTCATCTCTTGTTAACAAAATCTGCAACTTTACTTTGAGACTTAATTTAAATATATGTATGTATATGTATGTACATATGTATACAATGCATAATGTATACCGTATACTAAGTGCAAAAACAAATCTTTTTTTAATGATTTAAGACAAGTTTATTTATTATATAACGAGTATACATAGTAACTTACAGTATCATCTGCACGTATATACAATCTCAAAACCTTGTATGCTTGTAATTATTCCACGCAACAGGTTCTTTTAGTTACCACGTTCAACTGTATGACACATAACCTTCCTGTTTCCTACCACGTGCTTTTAGGTTTATCAACAAAAAATTGTTACATGCGAACAAACATTGTTTCTGTAGAAATTACGTCAAGATTTATGAATTAATTTATTAGATCGCATATTAATAATTCTCTCAATTCATTCGTAATTCTGTTAATTTCTTTGATCATAAAAAGTAATACATGATTTACAGTCTTAACAAACATATTTATATAATACTTATGTAAAATAGCAAATAGTTTACTTAAATACATCGTTTCGTTATAAAAATTTTTACTATCTAAATCGCTTATCCGAGGAAATCATAATTGTTAACATCTTCAAATTGTTGATTCTGTGAATTACCAGGTGCCATAGGCCTAGTTGGCATTTGTCCTCTGGCAGCAACAATTTGTTGTTGTAGTCCAAGTACTTGCCTGTATGGTGGTTGTGGCTATAGAAAAGAATTAATATATGTAAACAAATTAATTATCTAATGGTTTAAATCAATTGTACGTTGTCATACTTGTTGTAATAAATGTCTGAGACCCATATTTGAACCAGGGCGCATCAATCTTGGCGCGTTTGCCTGTTGATTGGCCATACCGACAGGATTAAGAGCTCTTTGCGCTTGCTGAGCCTATAACAAAATCTTTGTTCAGTTTCTTCTAGTTGCAAGTAAAATATACAATGAGACAATCTTTCACAATCAAAGCGCTTCACCTCTAACTGTTGTTTA